TATATATACACACACACTAAACAATTCTAACAAAATTGTTTGATAAAAAATTTCTAATTGACAATTCCTTATTCCCAACTTATGAATTCGGCCCACTGGTTTAAAAACATTTTAAATGTTGTAATAGTAGATGTGTTTGTAATCACGTTGTATAAGTTTTCTGTTATATTTTATGGCCTCATATATGTAACACTAACAAAATTAGGTTTGTGGGTTTTACACTTGTAAATTTTAGTTTTTTCATAGAAAATAAAGGGTAAACATCACTCCTCGATGCATCATCTAGTTCCACAACCAAATATTATAAAATCAGGACAATATCCATATTTATATAATTAAATTTTAAAAAATTTCTACGTCAATACCTCACCGATGTGACATATTAAACTCTTATAACAAGATAATCATAACTTATAACATACAATTTTTTTATATTGGATATGATGTTACGGGCTTAAAAGTATATATATTGTCAAACATTTTTATTAAGGTTGGTTGTTTGATAGTTATTTAAACCGATAATGACTTAACAAGTATGTTACTAGGAGTTTGTTTTTTTTATATAAAGCTCTCATATATCTCACATTCAACAACACACTTAGAAATAGTAGTTTCTATTACAAATTATTCAAGATCAAACTAGTATGAGTACATATATATATATATATATATATATATATATATATGCAAACAACATTTATTGAATATACGTTTGATACCATTGTACAAAAATCACTAAGTAAGTACATGGTAATTAATTCAAATATTTGTATCAATTTACAGATGCTCAAAATGGGTTAGTTTTTGCCATGATTGGTACTTGTACAATCCACATAGAGTACAAAACAAACCGCACCTTATTTTTAAATCAAAAATGGAATAAGAGGCAAATAATTGATGTGTCCATAACCCGACTCAACAATGATTTGGATTTGCCACCACAAACTTAGAATTGATTTCTCATGGGTCCAAAAATTTGACCCATTGACCCGACACTTGAACAGCTTCATATTGACACAACTACTACTACCACTACCCCACCCCCAATTCCACACACCATTTAAAACCCTCATCCAACCTTCCTTCTTCAAAAGACAATCTTTTATTCTCTCTTCAAAAATTTCAAACAATCTCTGAACAATGTCCCCTTAATCCTAACCCTAGAGAGAGAGAGAAAGAGATACTGTAAAAGAAGAAAATGAGGTATATCAGAACAGGAAGTTTCAAGAGGCTCTTCTCTATGAAGCGTCATAGCTTGGAAGATTTGCCAAAAGAATGCATTTTTATGAAACAAGATTCATTCAACAATGGTGAAACAGAGTCTTTCAAGAAACCCACCTGGAAATGCTTCTCTTTTGAAGAGATTTATGTTGCCACAAATGGTTTTTCCTCAGGTAGTTCCAAATCTTTTCAAAGTGCCAAAAGGGTTTGTTTTCATAGTTCTTTGCTCAAAACAAGTGAACCATTAATGGAAGTTGCAAAGATTGAATCTTTATATGTATTCATGTTGTTAAATGATGAATTGCTTTCATGGATATCTCTAAAATTTGAATATTTTTTGTGGGTTTTAATCTTTTTCTAGTGTCATTAACTTTTTTTTACATGGGTGTTTCAGAAAACATGGTTGGGAAAGGTGGGTATGCAGAGGTTTACAAAGGAGTGTTAGAAGATGGGCAAACGATTGCTGTGAAAAGATTAACACAAACATCATGTGACGAAAGGAAAGAGAAAGAGTTCTTGACAGAAATAGGAACACTTGGTCATGTAAATCATCCAAATGTTTCATCACTCTTGGGTTGTTGTATTGATAGTGGTCTTTATCTCATCTTTCAATTCTCATCCAAAGGTTCTGTGGCTTCTCTTCTTCATGGTAATACTTCCCAACTTTTTTCTTGTTTTCTTTCATAAAAAGTTTCTTAATTATTAGTACTAACTTGTTAAAATACAAAAAGAAAATGTCAAAATGAAGATTTTAAGCTTTTTATAATGGTTACTAGGCAAGAGACTAGAAAAAAAATGGTTAAAATCATTCATTATGCACATTTTAGTGTTCTTTTTGCCTAGTTGTTAGTTTACGACAAAATTACAATTAGAATGATTAAAACATATTTACTCATAAAAAGAGTCGGTAACCATATTTAGAGAACATTTATTGCATAAAATAAGCACATACATCATATGTATATGAGTTATCGATACTTAAAGATTGTAGGGTCACTAATAACTATTTACTTCCAAACAACACTATATTTAATATTTGTACTTGGAAGTTTTTTTGTTAATTGCAAATAAGACCATGCATATTCAATATTTGTACTTGAAAGATTTTTCTTTTAAGCATCTAATATATATAACAAAAACATTTATCCGCGTTTTTTATGAATAAGTAAAATGATTGTTGATTAAAATTTATATTAAAATTATATTTAATATTTTTTTGTCTTATCTACTTTTGGTAGATGAGAATTTACCGGTTATGGATTGGAACACGAGGTACAAGATTGCCATTGGGTCCGCTAAGGGGCTACATTACTTGCACAAAGTATGTCCAAGAAGAATTATTCATCGCGACATTAAAGCTTCAAATGTTTTGGTGACAAAAGATTTTGAACCACAAGTAAGCAATTTAAATTTAATACACTTTAATTAATGTCGTAATAACTTGTATTATCATTCATAGATATCGGATTTTGGGCTTGCAAAATGGCTACCTTCGCAATGGACACACCACTCGATTGCTCCAATCGAAGGAACATTTGGGTAATTTCAATTGTTAGATTTTTATTCTTTTTATTATGATTTAAAATACATTCTATTTAAAAAACTAATTCATCCATAAAAAGCAATTGTTTTTCTAGAATTGTATGATACCTGTAAGAGTATTGTATTTTATGTAGATGAATCAATTTTTTAAATAAAAAAATCACCTCCCTTAAAATACACCTACTAATATTATTTTTGTTGACAGACATTTGGCTCCCGAGTATTTTATGCATGGTGTTGTGGATGAAAAAACCGATGTTTTTGCTTTTGGTGTTTTTTTACTTGAAATTTTATCGGGCAAGAAATCTGTCGATGGGTCCCACCAAAGCTTGCATGGTTGGGTAATGCCAACATTTATGTTTGATTAAAGTTTTTAAAATTTTTAGCCAGCTATATATATCTTATATATACATTAATACATATAACATATATATAATTTGAATTTTTTGATTTTATAGGCAAGACCAATATTAAACCAAGGTGAAGTGGAAAAAATTGTGGACTCAAGACTCGAAGGTAAATATGACTATTTGCAACTTAATAGACTTGCTTTTGCAGCATCTCTTTGTATTCGACCATCCTCCACGTGGCGCCCTACGATGAGCGAGGTGTGTGTTCTTTTTTAATATTTTTTCAAATATGTTTCAAAAATCTAGTAAAAACATTAAATTATATTAAGTTGGATTAATCTTTTTTAAAGGTTGTCGTTTTCGATGTTGCTCATTCTTGGATGCTTAAACCATGCGTAGGGGACCATGTCTGAGCTCAAAAAATATATTTAACTATTCAAAAAATATATTTAACTATTCTGATTAATTTTAATTATTTTGTTGTGAAGAATATTCTTAGAATTTTAAATGATGAGTAATGCTTTAATTAATTATAGATGAACTGAATGTAATTAACCAAGATTAAACAAGTGGATAATCACCTTTAAATTTATTTTCTTGTCCCTTTATGATTCCAATTAACACCCTACCACGATATTTTACTTGTCTTTTCTACACATTAAAAATAAATAAATATTATATCATAAACCGACAATAGGTCTTATATAAATACCACGTTTATTAATAAATAAAAACATCACAATAAATATGCATGTTAAACAGTTTAAAAAAAGAGGCTTAATTTAAACTATAGATTATAGAGCCGACATACATTAATTAGAGGTTAAAAGTTCGTTCTCTTGAGGACCAAATTTCGTTATATAATATAAAAATAAGATTTAAATGTTTATAGCAAAAATAAATTCGTCCTGTTGTCATCTTCCCACCCGTGTGTTTGCGTGGACGCATATATATTTTGACAATCATGGACTTCCATTTTCTTTCTTCTAATAATCAAAATGATTAAAATTACAATAAGGACGTTTTTAATTTTATCTAATATGGATTATTTTTATTGATAATGAAAGATCACCTTGCTATATTGTCATAGTCAATATTGGGCCATTTTTGTCTTTTTCTTATGTAATCAACTATTTTAGCACTAGGGTTAACCTTTTTTCTTTTGTCTTTTTGTTAAGAAATCATATCCTTGTTTCATTTATTATATCAATATTTTTACATAAGAGTTATTGTATTAGGTTTAACACCAAGTACTTGATCATGCATAATTATGCTTCATTGTATATGCATAATTGATGCTTCATGTAAAAAGAATACATCGTAAATTAATGTTAAACGTAAGTTTAATCTATATTCTTATTTTATAGGTACTTGAGGTAATGTTTGAAGAAGAAATCGATAAAAATAGATGGAAAATGCCTGATGAAGAAAAGGAAGAACACGATGAGTTTTGGGGTTTCGAGGATTTGGAGTTTGAATCTTGTGACAGTAGCAGAGAAAGTACTTTCTCGGCTTCTCTCCAAGATTCAATCTCAACAAAGAGCAGTTAATAAGTCATGTGTATAAATACTTTATCTTACGTCAATAATAATACAGTTTTTAAGTCATATATATGATCAAGTAGTTAATTTGACTCCTAATAGTGTTATTTTGTGAGTAGGGTATATACACATTGGAACCACAACATACCTTATTATGTAAATGACAAGTTTTTGTTGCATCAATATGATATATATGCAAGATTATTTAGGTAATCCATTCTTTGATATTTAATGCAAACTAAAAAAAGAATTATTTTGTAAATGACAAGTTTTTGTCGCATCAATATGATATATATGCAAGATTATTTAGGTAATCCATTCTTTGATATTTAATGCAAACTAAAAAAAGAATGTTACCATGACTTGTATAATTAATTTGCATTGGAAACTTGTAAGATGTAAGAAGGTGGTTATTGGAATTAGATGACTCAATCATCTATCTACATGCACATGGCGGGTATCTATGAGATTGCACAATTATGGTGGCTAGTGGCCAACTCAGCTGTTAGAGTCCAGCTCATAGTAATAATTCCACGTGGGACAACGCCAGCATGTAGGGCATGAGACAGAAATGAGATAACATAACCATTTTTACAACCTTCTTTTACTAAGAGTTTATATAAAAAAGCTTTAAAACAAATGGTGGCATTAAGAAAAACTTAGGAGTATATTAGATATTTTCGATTAAAAAAAACTGGGTGAGCATGGGTTGGATTGGGTCGGTTTTAACATAAATCCGAACCCAAACCAATACTATAGGTTTTTAAGGTTTTAAAACCGAACCCAATACCCAAACCGTTGGATTCGGGTTCTTAGTTTTTGGTTTTTAATGGGTTGGTTTCGGTTTGAAACCAAATCACAAACATACTTGGTGTACTTTGAAACTTTCATATATAGATGATGAAAACGGTGAAAGTTTTCTTCATGAGTCGATGTGGGATCTTTGATATGTTATATAAGAGAAGAAGAGGGTTGTTAATTGTATACACAAGCGATGTGGGATGCATTCTATGACTTTCAAAATAAAAGACGAAATAAATGTTGGTAGACGATATGAACCGGAGACCAATGGCACGCGTATCCTCCAACATCAAAGCACTTACCATCAGACCAAACTCTTGTATATGTTTATAACTCCCAGAATGAATATATACACATATATTTACGGAACATATATTATATTTCATAAAATTCGGTTCGGTTCGGTTTTGCTTGGTTTCTAATATTTCCAAAACCGAACGCAAGCCTAATTTTTCGGTTTTAAGAAATTAAAACCCAAAATCGACGGTTTGGGTTTGGTTTCAGTATTTCGGTTTCAATTTCGTTGGCTTTTGTCGGTTTTTGGGTTTCAGGGTTTGGTTTGCTCACCCTTAAAAAAAACTGGTACATTTAGTTGGAATTTTTTGCGGTTTTGGTTCAAAAAGGTTTGAATATGCACCAATGGTTCAAATTTGGATATAACATTACTTCTTACCGTTAACTTGTACCATGTGCTTCTAAGGCCAAGGGCGTTTTTGTTCTTCCGCTTGTATGTCTCATCATACTACATTGCATGAGTAAAAAAAGACATTATGACAATATGTGACGAACAAAAAGTTACCATACAATGTTATAAATAACCATTCATGTCGTTACCTAAAAGGCTACATCAACCATTTATCAAACCAAGTACACTGTCCATATGAAAAGCATAGAAACATAACATAATAATGTAAACCAAACAAATAACAACCTTGCAAATACTAGTGAACCCAAAATTAAGTTTTTACTAAAAGACATTGCTATAATACTAGTGACCAAATGACAAGTTTCATCTATTCAAATACGACTCTAAGAGTACACATACAAACACACATTAGTTCTTTTCTTGACTCTTACGTTCATTCCCTTATTGAACCTTGAAATTCCTTGAGTTGTAGCCCATGTTGTTGCATTTGCCATATCTAACACTCACAAACCTCTTGGTAAGTTTTTGAGGTTTACTTCCACCATGAACTTGACTTTGACTTGTTTTTTTTGAATTTGAATTGAGTTCCTTTCATATGCACTACACTTTATCTTTTTCTTTCGTCTCCCACATTGATTGTGATGTGGTGGAGATGTTAATGTGATGGTATAACTATTAAACATGGATACAGTTGTGCAATTACATGTATGATACCTTGTTAAACATTAGCAAAACTGTTAACACAAGTTTATTTAATAAACACTTAAGCTATTGCAAATGTATACATTTTTCCTGTCACAATTGAAAGTGAAGTTTGAATTTTCATACAGTTCCAACTCATCTCCCAGACACTCAATAGCACACTTCCAACTTGAAGTGTTTTCACTCTTAACAATGACATATGTTAGTAGGTATATTCCATTGTTTGAGTCTAACACAATAGTAATGAGAATCTGACCTGGAAATAGGCCGTTAATCTAATCCCAGACTATCTCTTAATCAAAATTTGAACCTTTTCTTTTGTTCCCTTAATCAAATATACACTCTCTTAAACTGCCTTGTTTGGGAAGAAATGTTAGGCTCAATAACTATTTCAAGCTTCATAGTTGTACCCTTATTTATTGCTTGTAGTTATAGAATATAATCTCTTAACACATCATATTGCTTTGTGTAATCACCAAACACGTGAATTATAGCTGAAGCTTTTACCCTATAAGCTTTGTGGATCAACACAACAACTTCATACTTTTTCTAAAATTGCTCTTTAATGGCTCAAAATGGCACCGCACAGTTTGAATCGACCTGGTCCATGATTTCCTTGGAGATTAATTTAGTAGTACAATCCCTAATTTTTCTTTTTTGCAGACAAGTGTGGTCATGATTGAAGGTTTTCACATACCAAAATTCACATGTCTTTGACCGAGATGCCTACTAGATCATCAACTTCATTAATGATTGTATTTTTACTGATATCTAAGCACACCTTTGATGGGTTTTATATATTACAATAACTATGTGCTTGCGGAATTTCACTTAACATTTAAGGGCACATGTAACCTAAAGGGTCTATGTATTTAACACTTTGAATGTAACATGCTATGAACAACAAAATAACTGGAACCCTAATGAACACCTAGTATAATCAAATACAAGAATTAGAGTTACATATGTAACATCCCAACCGTCAGGTATTATTAATTTTTCCTTTTAGACTTCATGTTTAAGGTCTACTCGACGAGTTGGCGCTATAACTCGTCGAGTAGCAGCGGGCCAGGACACATCAATTAATGAGTGACTCGTCGAGTCGGTATGGGGGACTCGACGAGTAGGAGCTGGCAGTTGAAACCCTAAATTTCAGGGTTTTGCACCCTATATATTGGACCATTAGCGCCTCCCACTGTCCTCTATCACCCTCTTGAGA